TTATTTAAAATACCCAATAAAATTTTATTACTACGAATTTGTACCACGTTCGAAAAAGTCCGAATAAATCTCAAATTTCTTCTTAGTGTCTCCCCCTGATTTATTCAAACTACTGTCTCCTTATTATACTTGCCCCTTCAATTAGAATATAAAGTCGTCTGTTTCTTTCTTCTTCTTTTTTTCAGAAATCATTATTCACCGAGGATGACGGTTATGGTAGATAGGTATTTCATGTTGGAAAGAAAACACGTGTTTTAATGAGAATCGATTCTGTGGCCGGAACGGATACTTTCGGTGAACCTCGCCGAATACTGATTGTTTTTTCCGTTAAAAAGAGCCCGTGAACTTTCGATGAAAGGTGGAAGCTCATCAATAAGTTATGCACGCGTGCACATTGCCCTTTGAAGTGCCGCGGCTCCCGGGCTTTTAACCTCGCTCAATACAATTCGACGAGTTGAACGATCGAGGAAACCACGATTCGAACGCCGAGAAATTTCTGACTGGTTAGCCACCCCCTCGGATCGTTTTAGTGGCGATACGTGAGCTTGTTTTCTAATGATCAGACACAGGATCGAGTGAATAACCGTGTATTTGAAAAGCGGAAACAGCGTCCCAGAAACGTGAACGTAATAGGAATTTGTCTGTTTTTGATCGAACATTTAACCCTTAACTCTCGAAGTTTTGAATCTGTATTAAAGTAGAAATTTTTATTTCACATTGAATAAATTTATGACTGTAGGTATAATCGGAGATGCTTAAGATGATTAGCGTAGTTTAAGTGTATAATAATAATATAAGAATATCAGAAGGAACAAAAGATTGTACAGATAATCTGAGATCTTTAGAACAATTCTTTCTAAAGAATGAAATCAAATTTTTTTTCAATATTATGAATGGAGAAATAGAGGTACATTTTCTCAAAAAAAAAAGTGATAAAAATTCAAACATCTGCAGAAACACAGGAAATTTTTTTATGACTAAATCCACCACAGTCTTGAAGATTGAAATCTCTCCTTATGATCCAATAATCCCTTAGATGATTTTTTTTTTTTGCTATTTTTTAGCTTTCAATATTAGAGATTGTAACGAAAATTCAACGAAATATTAAGATTTTTTAAATTTCTGTAGTTTAATTCTACATTTGAAATTTAATAAAATAGTAAAAATCAAAATCGTACAGCAAGTTTTAAAAGGATCGTTTTTAACGACAGATTTATTTTTTAAGACCGTGGTGAATTTAATAGCTACTTTTAAGCAATTATTGCATTCTTTTATTATTAATTTTCATTTCCAATTCTTCCATAACAGAAAAATATATATTTTAATAATTTGCACATAATAATAATATATTTTTTAATAAATTGTAATCATATACCATCTATTTATAATATTGAGAAAAGATATTTAAAATCGCCGAAATTTTAGTACTAGTGTCATCTGTAAGGTCAGATTTAGTAACTGAAAGATATGCTGAAATCTGTAAACCATCAGCTGCTACGAATGAACTATATTATCTGTTGGTAAAATAGAATTTACAAGAAGTAGGGGCACAGAAGATTCAGATGAAGAACAGACACATTTCCCTATTGCATTGATGATCGATTGTACCGCATTTTGACTTTACCATTTGATACGAGGATCACACATCTCGACACGCCACATCACATCATGGCAAGTATTTCAATCTCGCGCTCTTTTATTATCTACGAATGGTAAGTTACTACTTGCGTTGCAAGTTAGTCAATGTTTCTATCGCCAATAGCGCTGTAATGTAATTCTTGCCTAAGTCGATATGGCAGGATGTGACACGAAAATGGTAACATAGCAAGAGTAACCCTCAAAACCTGGGACACGAAAAAGCATTGGATGCCCAGTCTATGCTAATTGGAATCACAGATGAGATATATGTAAATTTGTGGTAATAAAATGTATCATTTTATCGAGAAATCAAAGATTTCATAATTCCACGGCTATCTGTATTTCTGATCCCCATAGTACAGTGTATATTATACACTGTACTATAATACAATATAAATCAATAACGATGCGGGTAACATAAAAATAACAAGGACTATTCATAGATGTAGATTTTCCAGAATCTACGTAATTCTTTCTAAAGGATTGTCTCCAAGGAATTTCAAAAAGAGGCCGTCGATCTTACTATCCATCCGAAGGTACACACTATCCTTTTACCATCCAACAGTATACTACACTGTAATTCATTCAACACATCCAACATCTATTTTTATGTAATTCATGCAACATCTACCTATATACCTATATGCATATATAGAGCAAGAATACACAAGTTTATACACTGATTAACAAAATACATTAGCAAGTAGTTGGCAAACATTTCGTGCCAGCTAGCCACGAAGAGGAGCAATCCGTCTATCAGGGAAGTTGCCGGCCAGATAACTTTGTCGAAGGACCGGAACTCGCCGTGGCAACTCGGTAATTGCAGTTAACGCAATTCCCGCGCTAGTTCGGACGTCTTAGGCGTAACTTCGTCAACCGTAAAGCATGACAGAGAGAGAGAGAGAGAGAGAGCTAATCCTATAGCGAACAAGACAAATCCGTGACAAAAGATGAGTAAATAGGCCTATTTGCTATCTACGAGCCACTTGAAGAACCGCTTGAAGAACAAGTCTGCACTGAGCAAAGGAACAAAAACGCGT